AGATTTAGGAACGTTTTCCTTTCCTCTTTAGAGATACAGGCTTTGATCCCACCAGTCTTTGGAGGTCTGAAAATATCCCAGGAATTTTCTCTAGCACTATTGCTTAAAAAAAACAAAAAAACCTCATTTTGAAACTATAACACACAGATGGAAAATACAACTATTTTAAGCATACAGTGACATGAGTTCTCACATTGATAGAAATCAGATTTCTTTTGCCTATGTTATTAGCATATAATGTAATTGAAATCAATTAATACTTTTATGTTTCCTTCCAGCAAAAAGGAACTTTCCAAGAGGACTGAAATTGTGTTTTTAAAGAAACCTTTTTATCCTGAAGGCAGTCACAGATCAAGTGTTACATACATCTTGAATGAAATGAATAAACTGAACCTCCATTCTTCGCTTGCGGTTGCAAAATCAGTCTTGGCATTGAAGTATTAAGAATAAACAAATGCAAAAAGATCTGAAAGTAAAGTTTAATAGAGAGAATAATTTTAAAAATATAAAAGTGAACACTTTTTATGTAATTAGCACAATGTAAAGGTGAACATGATATCATACAAGCAAAATTACTAAAATACAATAAATGTAGTAGACTTGACAGTTAAGTATATACATAAATTAATAACATTATCTATGATGGGCTGATGCCCCTATGAACTGGATGCTTTCACATACGAGATGGTTGCTTAACATTGCCAACAAATGCTGTAACAAATTTGATTAAATTCACTTCATGAGGAAGGCAAAAAAATTCTTTTGAAATGACTAAACATATGGGAATATGATCAAGAATATCTGTCCATCATAATCATTTCATTGAGTACAGATCTGTTCCTTCTTACTGGCAAGCTTGATGATAAAGAGAAGGCCCTCATGATTTCTTGCTCTAACAACTTCCTAGGCACAGTGGTTCTATTCTTTCTTTTCCAGATAGACGAATTCCGTGGAAGTAGCTCTTCACAGCCAGTATGGAGTCATTACTACTCAGAAAAGTCCCTCCACCCCCAACTCCTGCATTAAGCAGGTTTCCAGGACTTTCCAATGCTGATTAAGTCTAGTGAATTTCTCCAGGCCAGTCTCATTCCAACCATCCTATTGTGCTGAACAAATGGAAGATCTGCCGGAGCGTCTTGTGAGGAACAGTGGTGGCTTATGCCTTCTGCCATCCACCAGAAACAACAGGGAAAAAAAAAAAAAATGAAAACGTTAAATGCTTATTGGTAGGGGACTGTTTAAATAATTTATGACATCCATTCAGTGGGCAACAGCACAATTGTTTAAAAATATAAAGAAGCTCTGTATATACTAATTCGGGAAGATCTTGAAGTGAAAAAAAATGCAGAACAGTGCATATAGTATGCAGTCTCATATAAAAATGGGAGGGTGTAATAACATATAACTATATTCTTAGTTTGCATATGCCTAAAGAAACTCTGGAAGGATTTAAAAGAGAGTGATAACTTCAAACTTTGGAAAATGTTAGAAGAACTTTTGTCAACATATACATTTATTCATATGTCAAAATTTAAATTTACTAGTAATTAAAGAAATGCAAGTTAACAAAACACCTATAAAGGGAAAAATTAGCAGAGGGCAAATGCACACTGCTGGTGACAATGTTTTGAAAATAAGGGGCTGGCGTTCAGTTCAGTTGGTTAGAGCACCGTGTTATAACACCAAAATAAGGGTTCCCATCCCCATATCCACCAGCCCCCCCCCAAAAAAAAAAGAGGAAATATTATCTTCAGCCAATGTTTTATCAAATATTATCCGAGACAGGTAAAGTTTCGTGCACAGATTCTATATATTTATTACAGACTGTATAAAACAAGAACGAGAAGGTATTATTCAGGAACAAATAACGAGCAAAGGAAACTATGGTATTTATAGTTAATGGAAAATTGTGTAGCCATCTAAAGAGTTGTGAGTGGAAAACAAAAGTATAAAAAAATTATTTATGATGGCATTACATTGGGAACCAAAAATTCATATTATTTAGAAAGCATGGTCACAATTTAGTAGAGAGACAAATACTATATATTTCAAATGATTAAAACATTTGAAAGTATAAGCCAAAATTATAATTGTCTACTAAATTGTGTGAGACGAAAATTATAAAATATTTCATAGAGAAAAAAATTTAGGCCCCCTCCACCTATTCCTTCTTCGACCAGGTTTCCTTTCAATTTATACAAAAGCCGCGTTTAGCGAAAAATTTATACCGAACGCACAGCATACTATGTCCGTACACTCACCTCGGCCTATTTAGCCTCACATACACTGCGACGCTAGGAGGTCCCGCGGACGCCCACCCCACACAGCTCACAGGGGGCGCCCCGGCAACCCCTTCCCCTCCCCCCCCTACAGCTCACAGGGGCGCCCNTGAGGAACAGTGGTGGCTTATGCCTTCTGCCATCCACCAGAAACAACAGGGAAAAAAAAAAAAAAATGAAAACGTTAAATGCTTATTGGTAGGGGACTGTTTAAATAATTTATGACATCCATTCAGTGGGCAACAGCACAATTGTTTAAAAATATAAAGAAGCTCTGTATATACTAATTCGGGAAGATCTTGAAGTGAAAAAAAATGCAGAACAGTGCATATAGTATGCAGTCTCATATAAAAATGGGAGGGTGTAATAACATATAACTATATTCTTAGTTTGCATATGCCTAAAGAAACTCTGGAAGGATTTAAAAGAGAGTGATAACTTCAAACTTTGGAAAATGTTAGAAGAACTTTTGTCAACATATACATTTATTCATATGTCAAAATTTAAATTTACTAGTAATTAAAGAAATGCAAGTTAACAAAACACCTATAAAGGGAAAAATTAGCAGAGGGCAAATGCACACTGCTGGTGACAATGTTTTGAAAATAAGGGGCTGGCGTTCAGTTCAGTTGGTTAGAGCACCGTGTTATAACACCAAAATAAGGGTTCCCATCCCCATATCCACCAGCCCCCCCCCAAAAAAAAAAACGAGGAAATATTATCTTCAGCCAATGTTTTATCAAATATTATCCGAGACAGGTAAAGTTTCGTGCACAGATTCTATATATTTATTACAGACTGTATAAAACAAGAACGAGAAGGTATTATTCAGGAACAAATAACGAGCAAAGGAAACTATGGTATTTATAGTTAATGGAAAATTGTGTAGCCATCTAAAGAGTTGTGAGTGGAAAACAAAAGTATAAAAAAATTATTTATGATGGCATTACATTGGGAACCAAAAATTCATATTATTTAGAAAGCATGGTCACAATTTAGTAGAGAGACAAATACTATATATTTCAAATGATTAAAACATTTGAAAGTATAAGCCAAAATTATAATTGTCTACTAAATTGTGTGAGACGAAAATTATAAAATATTTCATAGAGAAAAAAATTTAGGCCCCCTCCACCTATTCCTTCTTCGACCAGGTTTCCTTTCAATTTATACAAAAGCCGCGTTTAGCGAAAAATTTATACCGAACGCACAGCATACTATGTCCGTACACTCACCTCGGCCTATTTAGCCTCACATACACTGCGACGCTAGGAGGTCCCGCGGACGCCCACCCCACACAGCTCACAGGGGGCGCCCCGGCAACCCCTTCCCCTCCCCCGCCCCACACAGCTCCCAGGGACGCCCCGGCAACCCCTTCCCCTCCCCCGCCCCACACAGCTCCCAGGGACGCCCCGGCAACCCCTTCCCCTCCCCCGCCCCACACAGCTCCCAGGGACGCCCCGGCAACCCCTTCCCCTCCCCCGCCCCACACAGCTCCCAGGGACGCCCCGGCAACCCCTTCCCCTCCCCCGCCCCACACAGCTCCCAGGGACGCCCCGGCAACCCCTTCCCCTCCCCCGCCCCACACAGCTCCCAGGGACGCCCCGGCAACCCCTTCCCCTCCCCCGCCCCACACAGCTCCCAGGGACGCCCCGGCAACCCCTTCCCCTCCCCCGCCCCACACAGCTCCCAGGGACGCCCCGGCAACCCCTTCCCCTCCCCCGCCCCACACAGCTCCCAGGGACGCCCCGGCAACCCCTTCCCCTCCCCCGCCCCACACAGCTCCCAGGGACGCCCCGGCAACCCCTTCCCCTCCCCCGCCCCACACAGCTCCCAGGGACGCCCCGGCAACCCCTTCCCCTCCCCCGCCCCACACAGCTCCCAGGGACGCCCCGGCAACCCCTTCCCCTCCCCCGCCCCACACAGCTCCCAGGGACGCCCCGGCAACCCCTTCCCCTCCCCCGCCCCACACAGCTCCCAGGGACGCCCCGGCAACCCCTTCCCCTCCCCCGCCCCACACAGCTCCCAGGGACGCCCCGGCAACCCCTTCCCCTCCCCCGCCCCACACAGCTCCCAGGGACGCCCCGGCAACCCCTTCCCCTCCCCCGCCCCACACAGCTCCCAGGGACGCCCCGGCAACCCCTTCCCCTCCCCCGCCCCACACAGCTCCCAGGGACGCCCCGGCAACCCCTTCCCCTCCCCCGCCCCACACAGCTCCCAGGGACGCCCCGGCAACCCCTTCCCCTCCCCCCCCTACAGCTCACAGGGGCGCCCCGGCAACCCCGTCTCCTCCCCCACTCGCTTGCACACTGGCGAGGTCGGGCCGCGCAGCCGCAGTAGCTGCTGCGGCCGCTCCTAGCCCGGGGAATCCTGGGACTGAACCTTTCCGGAAAGGGAGCTCAGCTCGGCGTACGGTGTTAGGCCCGTCTCCAGACCCTGGCTCAGGCCCAGGCTTGTGTTCCAGGCCCTTGCTCGAAGACAGGCCGGTGGCCGCGGCGACGCTCAAGAGACAGTGAAGGACGCAGCGGAGCACTCGCTGAGGTGCCCGGCCTCGCCCCCGAGCGAGCCGCGGAACCGCAGTACGTGGCGGCGCCTCCCCCTTGTTCCCAAGCGGAACTGCTGAAGGAGCGGTAGCGCAGGCCGGACGGACAAGGTGAACCGGGTCATTTAACTGCCTTCAGGGGATGATTCAGCTGCATCATAATCAGATTTGAGGTCCACAGCCCTTTGCGGTCCTGCTACAGGACGGTTTTCAGTGGATGAGTGACCGGTGTGCCCTGAGGTGTGCCACAGTGACTGCTTGCCCTTGATAAGGAAAACGAGCATTCCTGCCCTTTGGACACCTCGTTTCCTGTAAAACATTCAGGTTATAAACCTCTTTCTTTGGCATACATCTCTGTGCTTTGGCATACATCTCTGTGCGAGAGGAAGGCTTTCACATGAAAGTGTCTCTTGGTAACGGCGAAATGGGCGTCTCTGCCCATTTGCAGCCTTGCAAGGCAGGAACAACACGGTTTTTTACCAGCAATACTCATAGTTCAGTGGTGTTGCAAGGCTTTGATCAGCTTAGAATAGAGGGATTGCTTTGTGATGTGACCCTGGTACCAGGTGATGGAGATGAAATCTTTCCTGTCCACAGAGCCATGATGGCGTCTGCTAGTGATTATTTCAAGGCTATGTTCACGGGTGGAATGAAAGAACAAGATTTAATGTGCATTAAGCTTCATGGCGTGAACAAGGTTGGTCTGAAAAAAATCATTGATTTTATTTATACTGCAAAACTTTCTCTTAATATGGATAATCTTCAGGACACACTTGAAGCTGCCAGCTTTTTACAAATTTTACCTGTTTTGGATTTCTGTAAAGTGTTTCTTATATCAGGAGTTTCTCTAGATAACTGTGTTGAGGTTGGGCGAATTGCTAACACCTACAATCTTATAGAAGTGGATAAATATGTTAACAATTTCATCTTGAAGAACTTTCCAGCTTTATTGAGTACCGGGGAATTTCTAAAACTTCCATTTGAACGGCTTGCCTTTGTGCTTTCCAGTAATAGTCTTAAGCACTGTACTGAACTTGAACTTTTCAAGGCTGCCTGTCGCTGGCTAAGGTTGGAAGACCCTAGGATGGACTGTGCTGCAAAATTAATGAAGAATATTCGATTTCCACTGATGACACCACAGGACCTCATCAATTATGTTCAGACAGTAGATTTCATGAGAACAGACAATACCTGCGTTAATTTGCTTTTGGAAGCCAGCAATTACCAAATGATGCCATATATGCAGCCAGTGATGCAGTCGGATAGAACTGCCATTCGATCTGACTCTACTCACTTGGTTACATTAGGAGGAGTTTTGAGGCAGCAGCTGGTTGTCAGTAAAGAATTACGGATGTATGATGAAAGGGCACAAGAGTGGAAATCTTTAGCCCCCATGGATGCTCCTCGTTACCAGCATGGCATTGCTGTAATTGGAAACTTTCTTTATGTAGTTGGTGGTCAAAGTAATTATGATACAAAAGGAAAAACTGCTGTCGATACCGTTTTCAGATTTGATCCTCGATATAATAAATGGATGCAGGTTGCATCATTAAATGAAAAGCGCACATTCTTCCACTTGAGTGCCCTCAAAGGACATTTGTATGCAGTTGGTGGACGCAGTGCAGCTGGTGAACTGGCCACAGTAGAATGTTACAACCCAAGAATGAATGAGTGGAGCTATGTTGCAAAAATGAGTGAGCCCCACTATGGCCATGCTGGAACAGTGTATGGAGGCTTAATGTATATTTCAGGAGGAATTACTCATGACACTTTCCAAAATGAGCTCATGTGTTTTGACCCAGATACAGACAAATGGACACAGAAGGCTCCAATGACTACAGTCAGAGGTCTGCATTGTATGTGTACAGTTGGAGACAAGCTCTATGTCATTGGTGGCAATCACTTCAGAGGAACAAGTGATTATGATGATGTTCTAAGCTGTGAATACTATTCACCAACCCTTGACCAGTGGACACCAATTGCTGCTATGTTAAGAGGTCAAAGTGATGTTGGAGTTGCTGTCTTTGAAAACAAAATCTATGTTGTTGGTGGATATTCTTGGAATAATCGTTGTATGGTAGAAATTGTCCAGAAATACGACCCAGAAAAAGATGAGTGGCATAAAGTTTTTGACCTTCCAGAGTCACTTGGTGGCATTCGAGCTTGTACCCTCACAGTTTTTCCACCTGAAGAAAACCCTGGGTCACCTTCTAGAGAATCACCTCTTTCAGCACCTTCAGATCATTCTTAGGTCTAAGGTATAATACAGTGAATCAGGGATGATCTCATACTTCCCCTTCAGTTGTATCTTCTTACAATGATTGGTACAGTTATTAGATAGAAAGGTAGCTGATGTTACTTGTCTTGTTTGACTTAGTATGTTTATCAAACGGTTAACAGATAACATTCTTAAAACGTATTCATAGCTAGCTTTTAACAAATGAAAAAAGATATGTAGAAAACTTTAAATTAGATGTCTTTTTGTGGTGTTGATATGAGTCAAATTGTGGGTGACTGTAGTAAATAT